CAAGGAGGTGGATCTAATGCTTGTCTTGGGAATTGGATGGAATAGAGCTGAAGGCTAGATGTTTTCCATTGAGTTTTAGATGTTACTAACTAAGGCATGATGAGTACCTGCATGCCAGAATGGTTTAACTTTACATTTAAAGAACTCAGAAGCATGGGCATACCTCATTGGATGTTATACTATTTCAGTATATTTTTTATGTCAAAGGTGTGACTAATAAATATTTTTATTATTAATCAAACTTACATTTCTTAGTTTACAGTCTCCATCTTCATAGGGCTGAATCAACTTTCTGGAAGGTGAAAGCTGTAGATTTTCCATGTTATATTAACTAAGAACTAGATATGATTTCCATATTTTGACTTTTATATCACATAGAAACTAACTCACACTTTAGTTATTACATGTTGTATAAAAACTACCGAAGTCCATGTGTGTGGACCAAATTATGGATTAGACAGCAACCTTACTGTCGAGATTTGTTTTCGAGAATTGCTAAGGACAAGGAAGCAAAGTGTATAGTCCAGAAAGAGAATTAAAACGTCAGCTGAAATTATGTCATCCATGCCCATCTTCACATAAGAAACTGTAACAGTAAAACAACCAGTGAAATGGTCAAAAAAGTAGTGATGGTCCGAAACTATTGGGTTACACCTTTGTTGAACTAACATCACTTACTCTTAACAGTCAGGGACATTATGAATATTATTGTATAGTGCCCATAAATTCAGTTGAACTACTGCTGTATCTGGTATCATCACATTGTTCAAAAGACAACTGACATAAAGATATTTATGCAAAAATGTGGAATCTTACTAATACCAGAGGAAAATTAAAATCACCTATATAGAATGTTACACTGATCAGATTGTAACTATAGCGCATGTGATTTTGGCATGTTAACCTAAATGTATCTCATCATAAACATGTATCTATCTAAATGTTTTCTCCCTACTTTATCACAGTGTGTTACCATTATTTCTCTGGTTTTGGAGGGGGTGTTGCAACATGGTATGTCCTTGTTTGGTAGTTCAGGCTGGCCTCAAACTCATAATGTAATGGTACTGGCCTTGAGCACTAGGCAATCTTTCTGCTTCATCCTCATTCTTACTGGATTCATGGTGTGTGGCACCAGCATTTTATAGATGCCCCAGGTCTCATATTCTTATAAAAGTCCTCCCTCTATCATGCAAACAGAGGAAAGTAGTGAACTGTAGTTGTTTACCAGACATCAAAATTTAAATCTGAATCTTCAACATAGCTCATTCCATAACAACAACAAAAAAACCCTGCTAATTGACTTTGTCGTGTAATGCAATAAGCTAAAGTAAGTAAAAATGCTCTGCAATTCTACAGTCACACATAAACAAGTGCCAGCCACACTTTAAAAGAGTAGGAATGTGTAGCTACTTCTGTAACAGCCTCTATCACGTTCTCCCAGCAGACCCAAATAACAACGCTGAAGATACCACTTTAAACTGATTGTTTCAAAGCCTGCAGTATTAGAATAGTGCATAGGACACATTGGGGTAAATACCTGTCTTTTTATGATGTCATCAAAACAAGTTTTTACTGGAAGCACCCTTAGCAAGATTACTTTTTTGGTGGCATGTCTTATTTGATTGAATTAAGGCAAATACACACACACACAGAGAGAGAGAGAGAGAGAGAGAGAGAGAGAGAGAGAGAGAGGGAGAGAGAGAGAGAGAGAGAATGGTCCTAAGAGTTTAATACTAGTAAATCCAGAAATGATTAAAATTGAGGTTAGTAACACTTGTATTTTCTTTGGCACATTTACCAGACCCATTAAGAACAAGTGATCAGCTATGGAAATGTCTTCCCAATGTTCTCTTGAGAAAAACAGAAAACCATATTGTTATGGTTCAGAAACACAAAATTCTAAATTAGCTAATTTATATATTATTCAATTTCTCTGCTTCAAAGTTCTTGACTGAAATGATTCATTTATCCATTGAGTGTACACTTTAAAAATATCACCAATTTGGAATTTAGTATATACTCTATTTCCATTCTGCCCAAACCAGCTTCTTAAAAAATTCTACTCTAGTGTGATTTGAGACAATCATTAACACATCCATTTCAGTTTTTAAATAAGTGTGTACTGAAGTCTTAAATAAAAAACCTTGATAAAAGTTGGCAGATTAAACTCGATTTTTAGGGTTGGCAAACTCCAATTCAAAATAATACATAATTATATAATTTGCTTCTAAACTTTTAATTTTAATTCCATTAAGTTATCTGCTATAAGAAATATACTTCTTTTGTGCCTAAGTCATAGTACTGTTTACGCATACTGGTGTTCCAAAGTGAGTTTTAATGTCCTTAAAATGGTACTCTTGTTGCAGACTTATAAAAAAGAGCATAGGATAACTCAAATTCCCACAGCTTGTAAACTTGCATGCATTTCTACACTGTATTATTTACTTCTTCAGTATGTCCACAGAATGCTTTCCTATATTTGGATATTATTATCACGGTGGCTTCCCTACTTCTCCTTCAATAACGGCATTAATTCCTTTTCTAAAGTAGTTGACAGGGCTGCAGTGATACAAAGAATGACCAACAATTATCCTGTATCAAATTAAGCTAAAGGCTGCTTTTGAATTTGGCAGGCTCAATTAAACACAATCCTGCGAAAGTTAGTTTTGTCATCATCACAAGGCTTAATTTTGATTTTAAAGTTATATATACTTTACTTTGGCAAATTCCACATATTTGGCCTAGTTTTCCCCTTAGTTACAAAGTTCTAAGAATCCTACCTTCACTATCCCTCATGTTTAATTTTCAATACATTTGTCTGCTTTTTCTCCCCATGAAAAAGGTTTGTTTTCTTCTCATCTCTTTGAAGGACTGTACCAGTCAGTAATAACAGCTGTGTTTCAACATTGCCACTTTCTTTTTCTTCTTCTTTTTTAAATCAGAGCAATTCTTCTTAAACACACATGACATTAATCACTTTAAATTTCCTGAGTCCAAAGTCCCCATCACCTGTCAAGAAACCTTTCTTGAGTCTGAAGAACATCCCAGGCCATGGCTCAAGAGCAAGTCACTGAAAACTTCATGCAACTTTTCTACTTATCCATGTAACAAGTACTAGGTCTAAATCGAGATATTCCTGATTAAATACAATGGATTTAGGCTACGAGTGCACTAACTGCACGGTCTAGCAACTATATTACTATTGCTTGCAAACCAGCTACACTCTTAGACACTTAGCTCACTCTTGTGAAGGGAAGGGCCAGGATGGCTGGCATTCTAGTTTATTAAGTAGTTCAAAGTCTCTAAAGAGGGCGAGCACTCTGAGGCATGCTTTGCCAAGGAGTCTAACAAGATTTGCTATCTTGCCTCACATTGCACAATAAAATAATTTCATACGATTATGTTATCCTCATCTCAATTATGTTGTTTGTGTTTCATTTACATAACTTTCAAGAGCAACCCATAATAGCTTTTGAAAATTTGCACTCTAGTTTGACTTCAAGCAAAAATTCATAGCAAGCTTGTAGGCTGTGAATTATTATTATAAATACATATACTCTAATCTACCACGAAAAGATCATCCACTGCATTTTGACATTGACTTAAAACAGTAATGAAATTTAAATCGTGTTTTGAGTTGTGCTGATTCTAAATGAAAGAGTTTAACTGTTTGTTAAGTTTTGGAGTTGAAACCCCCAATATTACAATACAAACGAATTGAGACACTTGAACAAGGAAGACTTCAAACTTTAAAAAGTAGAGAAAGGTGAGAAACCTATATCTTAAAAAAACTTGTTCCTACATTTCTAGGCTATGAGCGAGCATTTCTGGCTCTTCCCTGAGAAAATCTGTCTGGTCAGGTGATAAAAAAAAAAGTCTGAGCTACAAGAAGAATTAAACTTCCTGGCCTACCTAGATGTCTATCTAGCTGTTCTGTGTGAATCAGCAAACAAGTTGTGTGGCCAGACTGGCAGGTTGCAAGAGTGGCAGTTACCTTTTTGATGTTAGCATGGCACTGCCCAATCCACATAAGAACTATCAATTTCTCCATTTAACTCTAAAAACCTCACCTTGGAGAAGGCCCTGAGAACGAGTGGCTCCTTCCAAGGGTCCCAAAAGTATCAACAACTGTAAAATGGCAGGGAATTCGCCTCATTCTATGCGCAGCAGGTATCAAATGCATAAAGCTAACTCCACATCAAGTTTTGGAGTTGCACAGAAACCTAAACTGGGACAGGCAAATCGTACCTTAGGCTCTTTACCTGAAAATCGACTGCCCTGTGCCTGCCCATGCACCCAGTACACACTTTCCCAAAACTTTAGAAACCAAAGACGCCAGGGACACAAGCAGCACACAGGGACCATAATAAGGTCCCGGGTGAAACCTGACCTCTCAGTGAGGACTCCAGGAAGAAAAGATCAGAGGAGACCAGCTCTGCGGGGGTCTTCCTGAGGAGACCCTGGAATGAACGTATTTATTTTCACGCTGCAACTGCTGATCGCTTTACAGAAACACACCATGCTGTAGCTCTGCTTGGAGCTGAGAACAACAGAAACATTTATTAATGTTATAATTATAATTACTCTTTAACAAAGCTATTATTAAATAACCTGTACAAAGACCGAATCGGGCCTATCGAAAACTCAAGCCCTGTGTTGAGTCTCCCAAGGCCCTTCCTTCCATTTTCCTTCAGCAGCGACTCCCACAAGAAAGGCCAGCCTGGGGTAGAATCCCCGACTATAGGTCTTCCAGGCAGGCGATGCCTCGGACTTTAGAAGAGTCTTGGGGAAACTTAGGGTTCTCAACTGCGTCCCAGTTCCCAGCCCTACCTGCCCTGCCCTCTGCTCTAGGCACGGTCGGCTGTGCTTTTCCCTTCGAGAGGAGGACAATAAAAAGTTCCTCTCTGTCAGCTGCCTCGATGGTCTGTTTCGGGCCTGTCAGCAAAGGTTCTGGGAAGGATGTCCTGGGCCGGAGTGGCCTCTGAAGTGCCCGGGTGCGCTCATAGGTCCCGCGGGTTCTCCCGCTTCACCCCGGCCTCCGAGACTTTGAGCTTCTTATTTTGGTGCGTCTTCACGTGCTTAGCGAGATGGTCGCTGCGCATGAAGCGTTTGCCGCACTCGGGACATGCAAAGCGCTTCTCGCCGGTGTGAGTCCGCAGATGCCGCTGCAGCTCGTCCGAGCGCGTGAAGCTCTTGCCGCAGAAGAGCCAGTTGCACACGAAGGGCCGCTCGCCCGTGTGCCAGCGCAGGTGCGCCTTCAGGTGCGACGTCTTGCCGTACACCTTGCCGCAGCCTGGCACGTGGCAC